AAGGGACACTGACGGGGTACTTAGGCTCGCCGAGGTTTTTAGTTGTGCACGACGTACGAGAGCCCAACTACCCAGAACACAATTTGCGGCTTGGAATTCGGTTTCTTTTCACCCAAGAACCGCCAATTGAGAACTGGCCGATTTGAGTCGCGCTCACTCTCTTCTCTGTGGTCACGGGCCATTTTCTAAGGTTTAGACACAACCACCAAATTTAGTCAAAGTCGTGGGTCATTGAAGGGACACACTCAATGTTAAAAATAGGAGAAAAAAAAATTAAACCCAGTTTCTTGTGGTTTTTAGAAGGCTGCAAAGACGTTGACTGAAAAAAAAAAAAGTTGCACGGAGAACCGGAAGCATTTTGTGCGTTCCCTGCATAATCCTCAACACGGCATTGCATCGCGTATCGTGGGACTCGCGGGCGGGATGGCAATGGCAGCGGACGACGGGCGTGGGACCTCCGCTTCAGAACTGTCGTTCGCGGTACCGGCGAATTCTGTCTTCCTTTGAAAGAGGAATTTCGTAACGACTGAAAGAATTGGGATTCATTCTGCGCGACAAGCCCGACCACCAAGCAGATTTGCACAAAGACGTCGCCGAGCCGTCGCCCCTCCTCGTGGCTGAAGACATTCCTCGTCTTACGAACATGAATTGGTAAGAGCTTTATAACGCGCAAAACTTAAGCAAGAAGTGCATACTTTGAGTTAAATATGGATGCGTACGATTTCTTTACTAGGTGCGAATGTGGGCAATGTGTGGTGTTGCCCAACTTCCAAGCCTGGGGAGTGCCTTGGCTGGAGGGAAATCGGCAGCAAACTTTCCGACACATGGTCGACCGGCCGCATTACTACGAACGAGGAGTTCCCCCAGTAGCCCAGTTGAGGGGCGTCCGCTTCACCAGCAGCAGGTCCAGGTTCAATCCAAAAACGGGCGTACTGTTTTAGAGCGCAGCTCTTAGGGGCCCGTTTCCGGCTTGAGCGGCGTCGCCATCGCCGTCGCCGTCGGCGTCGCCGTCGGCGTAACCGCGCGGTGCATCATGGGAAATGTCCCATAATGCACCGCGCGAGCCCCCCACCGGGGTCACGTGACCTCGTGGGGGTCACGTGACCCCCCGAAGTCACGTGACTCCCCTGAGGTCACGTGACCCCCTCCTCGAGGTCACGTGACCCCCCGAGGTCACGTGACCCCCGCCGATGTCGCGTGACCCCCCGATGACGTCATCGTCACTGATGACGTCACCGGCATCCACATCGTCATCGTCATCATCACTGATGACGTCATCGGCATCCACATCGTCATCGTCATCATCACTGATGTCGTCATCGGCATCCACATCGTCATCGTCATCATCACTGATGACGTCACCGGTATCCACATCGTCATCGTCATCATCACTGATGACGTCACCGGCATCCGCATCGTCATCGTCATCATCACTGATGACGTCACCGGCATCCACATCGTCATCGTCATCAGCACTGATGACGTCACCGGCATCCACATCGTCATCATCACTGATGACGTCACCGGCATCCACATCGTCATCGTCATCATCACTGATGACGTCACCGGCATCCTTATTGTCATCGTCATCATCACTGATGACGTCATCGGCATCCACATCGTCATCGTCATCATCACTGATGACGTCACCGGCATCCACATCGTCATCGTCATCATCACTGATGACGTCACCAGCATCCACATCGTCATCGTCATCATCACTGATGACGTCACCGGCATCCACATCGTCATCGTCATCATCACTGATGACGTCACCGGCATCCGCATCGTCATCGTCATCATCACTGATGACGTTACCGACATCCGCATCGTCATCATCACTGATGACGTCATCAGTGACGTCACTGATGTCGTCACCGGCATCGGCATCGTCATCATCACTGATGACGTCATCAGCGACGTCACTGATGACGTCACCGACAATCGCATCGTCATCGTCATCATCACTGGTGAAGTCATCAGTGACGTCACTAATGACGTCATCGGTACCCGCATCGTCATTGTCACTGATGATGTCATCAGTGACGTCAGTGATGACATCATCGGCATTGGGGGTCACGTGACCCCCCCCCCCCTGGTTAGTTTAACCCCCCCCCCAGTGCCCTTCCCTCCTCCTCCTCAAGAGCTGCGCTCCAATTCGGCGTTACAGGGAGTTGTAAGCGGCTTTCATTTTTTTTGTTTTTTTTTGTCAAACATTTTGAGTTATTTACACTGATCTTTTTATGTTATTACCACTGAAAACAACAAATGTTGTGGACAAAATGTCGCTGAACTAAATGGTATGGGATTTCCTTTTCGACACCTGCGAACTCAATGTAGTCACTTTCCAGAAAATGCAAAGAGCCTATAAATCGGGTAGCATCCGCTTTCCGAGGTGCCCGGTAAATGTTCTACAGGAGTTGCGGCCAGCCATTGGTCCCGATCCCGTGGATCTTTCAAAAACTTGCACAGACTCTGCCGCTCAATGCCACTTTCGAATGCGGGGCATGTGAGGCAGCTCTTCACGCAACATCTTGGGGGCATTCCTTTTAAGCCAATCTCGGGCATTCGCCACAGGCACTCACTAATGATTTCAAACTCTTCAATGCACAAAACAAATCATCTTGAAGTGCGGAACAGCGAGCGGAACAAACAAAACTGCGAAGGAATCGCACGACAAACAGTTCCCACAAAGGATTGCCGTCTACTACACGCGGCAAAAAAAAACGGGGGGGGGGGGGGGGGGGGGGGGGGGGGGAGTGTGCAGTTGGGTGAAGTTACGTGACTTCCGGCACTCTCTCCTCCTCTATATTTCTTTGACCTGCGTGTGTTTTGAGCAGTTGCATTTCTTGTCTTTATTCAAAATATACGTGACTGGAGAAAATAATTAATTGGGTAATCTTCCGACACCATTGTAAACTGCTCGGCAAATAATGAAAAAAAAATTTTGGGGAATTGTCAGTGTCCCTTTAACAGCGACTGTCAAGTTGCAGTAAATCGAAATAGAGATGCTTCGCCTGCCTGACAATCGCAGCACTCGCCTTTGCCCGCTTGGTGATCGACGCCCGCTTGGTGATCGGTGCCCGCTTGGTGATCGGTGCCCGCTTGGTGATCGGCTGCTGCGTAGGCTCCAGTTCGAGAACTGAGAAGGCGCCGATGCCAATCTTCAGGCCCCTTTGCAGCCCTCCTGGCACGGTGCTCGCTAGTGCGCCCATGTGACCGGGCCCGTTAAAACATGCTTCACCAATCACGGTGCCCCTCGCCACATGTGCCCTCCTCCTCCACCGGGTTTCAGCCAATGAGCAGACAGGCTGTAGAGCCACTCACGGATGGATGGACGCACACTATCTCACCCTTTGGCGGCCCTTTTAAGAGAGATGGCAAGAGGCTGCCACTAAACAACACCCAGTGACACTTTATATAGTACTGCATCTACTCGCCTAATAGCCAGTTTATAAAAAAACACCCGAGCGTCTGCTTTTCCGCGGAGCACGCGTATTGCCAATCCCAGAGATGGACAATGTGATGCCAGCAATTTACGGGACAGAGATAAGGTTTTCACACAAAGATACCTTCTGTGAAGATTGCACCTCTACGGATAATCATGTTCTCGACCGAGCGAATGGCCATCATTTATCCGCAACACGATGATTGGCTCTCTACGTGTTCCCAGGAAAGGAAGACACAAAGGCATGTTCATAAATAGTGTGACTATCACTAGAGTAAATATTGCATTTAAAAAGGTGAGACATGGGTTTTAAAACAGCAGGAAAATTGGAATCAATAAATTTTTCTGAAAATCGTTTTCCTTTTCCCAATATAGTGTCACACCAAACTACCATACTGCGGGAAATTCTCACTACAGAACTGGTAAGTCTGAACCACTCCTGAACACTTGGGAAAGTATTTCTCTATCCATGCCTAATACAGATTACAGAATTCCTCTGCCACCATTATTAATGGAATGACTAATGTTGACACTAATGTATTGATTATAATGCAATTAAATGCAAAGGTGCAAGCGAGCTGGACAAGAATGACGAAAATAATCCCTGGAGAAGGGGAACAAGAGGGACAAAGGACAACCACCAATCTCCAAACACAGCTAGGTGACTGGTGCGCGACCGAAAACAGGCCGAAGACGTGAATGTTCAAACTCACCTGGACCAGGGACAAAAAAATATTTAATGTGCTGGGTTTGATTGAGAAAATAAAACCCGGTTTTTCTTCTCGCATAAGTAGCTTATGCAAACTTTCAGCATTCTGCACTGTGTAGCACATTGCAGAACGCTGAAACTCTGCGAGACAATGAGATTAGCGGTGTCGACAGAAGGGGAAGGTTGTAGAACATGACATTACCTGCCTCAAAAAATACGAGAAAAACTAAATTCCTCTAAGCTTACATATCCACTTAACCCTAACAGTCATCAAACAAAGAAATTACAACGTGGGTGCCGGAAGCACTTATTTGAGGGAAGAACACTTGTCGGCAAGAAAGAGAATATCATCTTTCTTGCCGAGACGTTTTTCTGCACCAGGCTCGTCTACACAGCCAGCTGAAATGGCCCCTCACCCGAAACAGCAGTAGCATGAAACTTGCACCCTGTACGGATGAATCAATTCTTGTCTTCTAGTGCCCAAGAACAGCTGTCCACCACAGTTTCTCACTCTGTCAATGAATTCAGAGCCATAGAAAGACGAAAAGAAGAAACCCCGTTAGTGCATTATTAGCAAACCAAGAAAGAAAAGGTTTTTGCTGTCGTTGACACGACGAAGAAATGTCTTTTTTATGAGAGCATTTTCTCGTTGGCTGTCATCCCGCTCGTTGCCCTTTTAACCGAGCCACAATCACCCGACTTTCGCCAAAACTTGGGTGGGTGCTTCTTGGGCACTCTACGAAACTAAAGAGAAATGAAAATATCCACAGCAGCGTTTCCAACGCCAAAATTCCGCACCGTCATCACCGAAAACGTTGCCCCCGAGAGATCCGAGAGACTCACCGGAACCAGGAAGCCAGACTGGCACGAAGCCCGGCTGTGGGGACTCGGCCGCCAGGAGGGACTGCAGCGCCGCGACCGGCAGAGTCGTCACCACGGGCTGCGTGGCAATGCCCCGCTCCACCTTGCGGAAGTAGACGACCTTCACCCGCGGCTGTGCTCTGTCCGAGATGGGGGGGACAACCCCCCGCGGTGGCCGAGCCAGGATGGGATGCGGGCCAGTGGGATGCACGGGGACTGCACCTGGCTGGGACTCCTTCGCAGCTGCCCCACCCGGGCCTAGAAAGAACGGATGGATGGCACGCTCATCACGCTATGCACAAGGTGTACCACGTTTGCTATTGGGCGCAAAGAAATCAATGCAGTCAAATGCCTTTACAACAAACGCCTCTACTACGAAAATGCCCATTTAGAGAAGTAAAATAAAGTCCTGGCCAATCTCCCATGTGTTCCAATGTGGTTCCCGGAATACTGGAACAAAGTCCTATATAACAAATATTTCCGTTTAACGAAGCAATTTCACAACCCCACGAAGCAAAAAATACTGATATAAAGAAATTTCTCCGTGAAAAGTAATAAATTTCACGTAAATTGTCACTCTCAAGTTAAGCGCCATGAGACGAGAAATACTGCGGTGGCGGAAACAGTTGAAACTGCCACCGCTGCGCCGCGCATTATCGGTTTTGGATTTAAATAATTTATTAGCGTACAACCTCGCATCTAGATCAGAGGTCTCAAAGACGCGGCCCACGGGCCGCATGTGGCCGGCAAATCGCTGGGACGCTGTAGTGTACGTAGATGGACGAGACATGTCAGCAAAAGTGTTCACTGCTACATCGCAGAACCGAGCGAGAAGGGACCGAAGGACAGGCGCGCAGGCCTTTTTCTGACGCAGCCATACCACCTGACAACCAGCCTTTACAGGTAGCATTATCGCGAACCGGCGGTGCTTGCCGATATCTCTTTACGCAACAGAGGCGGCCCGTAGGCTGCGAGTTCCTGTTCCCACGTCTCTAGCGCTAGAAACGGCATGCACCATAGTGATCTCCTCTCGCCGATTCATTTTCGCTCCAAAAGTATAGCTATGCTCTTTTAACGTAATCGCATAGTTTTTACTGATCTGCGTTCATTTGCCCTTTCTTTCGCTTTATTTTCCGCTTCCCACGTTTTTCCATTCTGCGAGTAGGCTGCAAGCGCCAGCTCTTTGCTGAGGCAGGCACCTCAGCCGCACAAACTCTCCATCAGTTGGAGCAACTGGCAAGAACAAAGCTACGAGCTCGGAATCGTCGCCTTCAAAAAAATATCACCATTAAAGGAGAAGTATTTACTCGGAATGTTGTAATAAAAATCATCGGGAAAGCAAGAACTACCAGACTAACTGATTGTATTTTCACAAACATGTCGAGCGTAATTAATTCCTGAAATAATTGAGCAACGGGAACGACGGTGCATTGGTTCAATTAAAAAAATGGGAGCACGTTGGCGGGCGGTGTCAATTGAATTCTCGTTATCGCATGAGGTCAGGGCCCAAAGTACCGTATTTACTCAAATTTAACGCGAGTTGTTTTCCAAATTTCCCTTACCTAATTTGGGGGTTCGCATTATAATCGAAATGCCTCAAAATTTGCCTTGGCGGTGTCGCAGCACAGGCTCTTTAAAATGGCTACGACAAATCTCGCAATCTTTCGATCTTGTGCTGACAACATATACACGCTGGAAACAGCCAATCCAATCCTATTCTTGTTTGCGACTCGTTGCGCCCATGTTAGGGTTACGGGTTACCTTCACAACGCTTTCTCTTTCTGTTAGGATTACCGTAACCATGTGCCCGTGTTTTGTGAGCTGCTGCTACGTGCTTCCGCGACTGGACTCGAGCAAATGGCGACGCGACGAGCTCAGTACGACGCCCGCTTTAGAAGAAGTGCAATTATGATGGCTGAGGAAATCGGAAACTCTGCCGCGGCTCGACGGGTAGATGTGACAGAATCGACTATCCGTGGGTGGAGGCTCCAGCGTGAAGTGCTCTTCAAGTGTGAACCCGGCCGAAAAGGCTTCCGCGGACCACGTTGTAGTACTTTTTAAGGTACTTTTTTTCCCTCACTAAACTCGCGTTACATTCGTGTTCTTTTTTTTTTTTTTTTTTTTTTGCTCTGTGAAAAGTTGCCCCTCGCGTTACAATCGTGGTCGCGTTACATTCGAGTAAATACGGTAGTCATAAAACAAACGAAGTTGAAAGACCTCACTAGCAAAACCGTGATTTCTAAAAAAGGAGTGGGCGTCTCTCGCCTTTAAAATTTTCTGACCTCCCCCCCCTCCTCCTCGTCTTACATTGGCCCGCAACCTTTCCGGTGTGGGCTGTCTGGCCCCACACTCAAATGAGTTTGAGGCCACTGGTCTAGACGGTGCTACGTGATTGTGTCCCTGCCTACGGGCCTTTCTATGCAGCAACATAGTCACGTAGCGCCCTCTACACACAAGGTTGCACACTGACAACCCGGCCAGCCGACCATAGAAACGGAAGCTCTATGCCTCGAAATCGATCCAGATACGAGGTTAATTGCAGTCTTTTCTGCGATCCGAGTTGGCACAAAATGGTGGACACAAGCGATCCCTCCACCGCAGTGGGCATAAATACTGCCACAATCATAAAAGAAAAAGGCTCGAGGTACACCTAAGCACTTCTTATGAGTTGTGAATGCGAAAGCATGCACGCCGCTTTTCGCTCCCTTCTTTATTCTGCGGTGTACGACGCGCCGACTTTGGGCGTGGAACGGTGGAGCCGCCGCATCGCGGACACGCAGCGCCATCGGGTGAGCGATCGTTCAAACTGTCGCGTGCCTTGCAGCGCGAGGAAGGAACAGACAGCAACGTGGTTTCCAGCAGGACGAACCCCTTGGTTTGTTCCATGCTCCGTATACATTGCCACGCGCCGTACAACCGATAAGGGGCGAGCGAACGCGGTGATCAGCGATAACGCAACGGTGCGATAACACAGTCAGGATGACACCTCGCAAACTGAAGCGCAGCGGCCAATGGGAGCCTCGTTGACACGCGCCAGCCAATGAAACCAAAGTGTAAAAGGGGCCGTTGGCTAACTTGGCACGCGGTTTCATTAAGGTGCCGCTTCGCATGGTTTCAAAGCTGATGACGTCAGCTCCCTCCATGAGACAGTTAATGCTTTCGCATTAATAACATAAAATGAAGCGTAACTACGTACCAGTCTCCGCGGGAAGCCCCTGATCGTCGCCTTCCGTCGGATCTTGAGGCTCTGCGCACAAAGGTGGTTCCAACATTCAGAATGGCACCTGGCCGTGAAATGACACCGAGACAACAGACCAATCTTGACGGCCACTGCTGCGTTGCCACGTTGCTGGGCCTCTTGGGAAACCTGCGGCTCTGGAAAGGACAAGGTAGAATTCAACCTGTTGCTGGCGATTGAATGTCAAAATTTCCAGTTAAATGAAGTACAGACCTGGATTTGTGTGGAACGTAACCTTTGTCACGTCCATGCGACCTGGTGGTTCACCTGGAGGGGAAAACAATACGACACGAGACGTAACATTTTGGCGACATGTTCCCATTACAGAAAGAAATTTCATTGAGAAGATACCTTCCGTCAGAGCTGGCACTGGGTTCCCAGGTTCCCAGACTTCCTCGTAATATTCTGGCTCTGGGAGTGAACAAGAAACCGAGATAAATTTGAATAAAGATAATGCTTTGTAAAACCCAAAGTAAAACAAGAGAACAAACACCAACTTTAGGACAGACCTGATTTAACAGACACAAGATGGCAGCTCGGCTCTTCGTCCTGCTCGACATATTCGGGTGGCTCTGCAAATGCAGGGACGGCACAGCAACAGATTAGCTTATGCTAAAACACCGTGGAAACAATACTATTACGAGATCCTAAAAGGAGGCTAGCTTGAGATGCCAGGAGACGTGTAACTTCTGCCAAGATACGAAGGAAGAAGGCCCTAAGCTTAACAGCCACAAGACATACGTCCTGAATGTGCTTGCTCTTTACTAACAAGAAGTTCAAGAATGGTCCCAAGGAACGCTTTAGGTTACGCCGAAATGTAAAGAGATAAAGTTAGAACAAACTGTGCTATACTTTTCCACACATTAAGAAATACCGTGAAATGTGCCAAAGAAGAGGGCAACTCTGCTCAATCCTTTATAGATCTGCGGTTACAAATATCTTGGGAGCAGCCAGCTTTACAAGGTTTTTTTTTCTTGTACTGTGTATAGAAAGATAGTTGGTGCAATAATCACACAAATTACTAGCTATTGTGGAGATGAATTGGAAACATAGAGATCACATTTTTCTTAATTATATACAATTGAAGCATTAAATATACTGCCTTATTTTACTTTAATATCTCCACAAAGGAAGACGGGTCTACATTATTAATGCCTAGTGTTTTCAAAACCAGATTAGAAGTTAGGTATCATCCCACATGAAAATAAGCTGCAGCTTCCAGCTAGAAACGAAGATTTCCAGCCGCATTTTCGGCTAAATTATACAGCAGCAGCTGGAAATCCTGTTTACAGCTGGAAATGGATGCTGGTCATGCTGGAAATCAGAAATTCCAGCTTGGAAAGGATCCACCTGGAAGTTCCCAGCTAGATGTAGAAAAATCCAATTTCCAGCAAGAAAAAAAAATATTTTTCGTGCCCTAACTTGATACGTTGAGGCTTTGTGCGAGTCCATTTCTGAAAATGAGACATGCAGTTTTCCATCTCTTTGTAAATTATTCTGGCTCCTGAAGTTATGATGTTATTGGATGGCAACAACGATCTGGCTAAAAAGAAAAAAAGAGCCGTTTGACAGCAAATGTTTCGGACCCTCTCGCTGCCCATCGTCCGTGGTTCTTCCGTTTCACCGTAGAAGCCTCGAATGTTCGCAGCAACCCAAAACGAGGTACTACAGGTTATATGTAAACTGGTCATCTGGCAACACACCCGTCTTTATAGTCGCAGCTGCCATCATGCCATTGCCACTGGAACCATTCACCCCTGGAAGAGAAGATGCCAAGAGGCGACAATTAATAAAAAGTTACGCACCGGAGGTTATGCTGCCATTCAAGGAGTACTCCTGCCATTCTTTGAGCTACCCCAACTAACTTTATATTCCCATTCACGTGCCTTTACCCTTCCTAGTACGCTATTTAGTATCGTGAAATTCGGAATAGTTATTCTGAAATCAGCAAGTGAAAATGATGCCCATACCAACATTCGGATATACCCGCACTTTTCAGTGCCCAGAGGTCGAGGGAAAGCAGGCTTGCAGGTCGAGCGGGCAGTCTAGAAATAGACCATGCCGAGCACCTTGTCACCTTTCAACTTTTTGTTGGAAAAATAAAGGAATTACCGTAATATCCCGAGTCATCGCCCATCCTCGAGCCATCGCCCACCCCACTTTTTGGGCCAATATCGATTTCCGAAAAAACACCGAGTCATCGCCCACCCCTTCAAATACCCCAGCGCGGACTCTGCGATCCGCGAACACTCATCCTACCCGAATGACGCGGCCACGGACCTTACAGTTGGAGGACGTCCGTGACAAAGTAAAACGAAGGAGGGAAAGACACTTCTTTTTGTTTACGCATTTCCTCCGTGAGCGACCCCAAAGTGGTCGTGTATCCGTGCGAAAAGAAAGCGATGGAGATAACAAAATAAGAGTTTGTTAATGTAACCGCAGAGTGTTAAGTCAAAGTCTGTCTCCGCCGAAGGTCACCGCGAACCCGCTCCTTCTTCCCGCCCGTCGCGACTGCGGTTGTGCAATATTTTAGGCAAAGCCAACGCGTAAATAAAGCTTTGCTGGAACGCCCTACACAGACGTTTGCAGAGCGTCCCAACCGTGCATTGATAGCCCGCCGTGCACGGACGCACGTATGTACGCACCAAACAAGAAAGTTGCGCAAGAGCTTGCAATTGACAAGGCGCCCAACTTGGCCCGACGCCAAAGTATTTGCCATCGCGACCGCCGGCTTTCCCAGCATTGCTCTTGGTCGCTTCTTTGGTCCGCTCGCTGGCTCGTTGCGCCTGGTCGGTTTTTCTATTTTCTTGTAGACTTTTCTTTCTCTTTTTTTTTTTTTTACTAACTAGGAGAACATAGTGGTGACATTCTTTCACGGAACAAACGTTCGCGCTATATGCAGATCGGCAGTGTTTCTAGCGCGTATGCAAGCAACAGACTTCGCTATAGTAAAATATTCTTTCGTGCGCATTTTTTTCTATAAAATAATGAAACTAAATCGAGTTTTGAGTTTGATGTATCTCTTGTGCATCAGCGCTAGATACGAAGAGAAAAATGGGCGGTTTTTTCCGCTTTTTTCAAGTGTTTGTGCTCACCCACCGAGACATGGCCCACCCCACTTTTTTAATGAATTTCAGGCGGTAGGGGGGTGGGCGATGACTCGGGATATTACGGTATTATTAATTGTTACGTCCTACTGCGTGGGTGCACAAACCAGCTCCCAGAGCATTCCTTTGACACCCTGAAACTGCTTGTAATCAGTTGGCGACAAAGTCTACTGCCCCGAGAGTTAAACCCCTGCCCTCCGCCGACGTCACTTTTTCATTGTTGCCAATACGAGGACCAAATTGTAAACTCAAAAACATAGCGGAAAAAAAAAATAATAATTATCCCAATATTTGGGTTAACTATTTCAGCTATGTTTGTTGGTCTCTTCAGCATATTTTCGGAAAAATCGGGGAGTATGAAGGAAACGCCGAAGAACCCCTGCAACCCCACATAAGAGCTTTGCCATCATTAATAACGAAATTATCATGCTGACGGCAATGTGCGTTTTCCGATAACATGGAACAACCATGTCTGCTGACCATTTTTAATTTTCAGGAAAAAATATATTTTGCTGACACCACGCCCAGAAAAATTAAACCGATCCTTGTTTAGAAAAAAAGAAATTTGTCTTTGCGAAAACAAATTGGAAGGGTACCCTCTCCGTCACGTGTGCATTTTCCGCATCGCAGGATGTTGGCATTTCAGGCGGCTTCTCCAAAAAAAACTATTCTGGCTACGGGTCTAGAAATATTTACCGAGAAGTTATGTGTAGGAAGAATTCACAAAAAATATTAACCACCGAATATTAGGGTCGTTATTTTGAGAAACAAAATCGCAAACACGGCACATTGAGCAATAACGCTCTGGAGTAAGGATTTGCTTTTTCCATACCTAAAATAGCTCACGTCTTCAAGCTTTGCCAATGTGCTACCCTGTATAAAGTTCATATGTGCATAAAATATTGTTGTCCTGGTTAACGGGGTAAATTTACAACAACTGCTCACACAGGGGCATTTAATTAAAAATGCATTACAGTGTAGATTGCATATAACGTATGTCGCGGGAGTCGCGAAAATCCGCACTATAAGCGGTACCGCGCTATAACCAAAACATCAATTTTTCAGGCCAAAATACATGCCATGAGACAACTTACCTTTGTAAAAGAATTTATTTTATGTTAGATGAAAAATAAAGCTTTAGTTTGAGGAAAGTCTTTATTTCACCAGACTAGTACACTTCTCTCTCAAGTGTGTCACACCTTTTAAAAGAAATGAGCGGCTTTTGCCTGGCGCAGCCTTTTAACGGCGTCGCGGGTTGCGGACGGACGTTGCGAGCGTTCAGGATTGCTAACCCTAATCACTTTTCTCCGGAGATGAAAACGCGTGAAAATTTGGATCCTTCATACGGTACGCGCCAGTAATACCTGCAACTTGAGCACACGCATGAAATGCTCCAAATAAGGAATCCGGGCAATGTTCGAGGACACAAATGCTTAGAAATCACCGCTGTAGTCGAAGTAAACAAACACGACGACACGGGCGTTTCTGCCGTCTTGAGAGTGCCGCCACGACATCGCCGCACGAGTAGGTGAATCTTCCCTTCTAGTACGTGCTGGGTTATCATAGCGACACACAGCGAAAATTCACAGTCAAGGATAGCGCTTTTACGCGGAACGACGAGCTTCCACCGCGCCATCTACATCGACGATCAGGACCGACGCCATGTTTGCGGATAGAAGAGGAGCCGGCCCGCAACCGGCATGCAACGCACGCTAACACTTCTCCTCGACCTGCGATTGGTCTGTCGTTGCGGTTGTTTCCAACCGTATTTCCAACGCAGCGAAGGGGTGGACGCACGCACGTGAACGACACGTGCGTGCGTCCCTCCGTCACTATGGCAACTGAAGCCTCTCTCTTCGCTTCTCCCCGCTTCTTCGAGCAACCTCCTCGCCCCGCGAGGGTGTTGTTGCGGCTAGCGCCGTTATCTAGTGTCGCACAGGGGAGCGTGCTCGCTGCTCCGGTCGTCGGCGCGCTCGGCGGACTGTTCCAGAAACCGCACTATAACCGGTGTTTCCCTATGCGCATTTGCATTTTAAGCGGTATGTAATTACATGGAGTTCTATGGGAGGCGAACCGGTGGTTTAAAAAAAAACGCGTTATACCCGGTCCTGCACTATAAGCGGTTACGTTGTAAGTGGTCTATACTGTATTTTGAAAATCATTTCAAAAAAAGGCCATCTTTAATTTTCTTAAAACTCTTCGAATTAACATTTATAATGTGTACAAACAGAATCTGCAAAAACATTAAGCAATATTTGTTTTTGCCTTAGAAGTTATAAAGCGAGAAATATGGCCAAATTGACGCTGACGCGCTTGCCATAAATGGGGCGTGCACATACCCATTCTTTATAATTTCATTATTATTAAAAAGCGTAAGAATGCTACGGGGTGGTCAAGAAAAGACAAATTGAGAGCACAAAGGTGGACGGAGGTTTTGAAGGGAAAATTCCGAATACATTTTCGTACAACCGACCCAAACATGCCCACGGGCCGGAGCGAACGAGGTGCGCCACCCCATAACATGCTTCGTGGTGCCTGTTTGAACAGCCGGCGTATAGCGTCTCCGCCTATGCGACGTAAAGGAAGCAACCGACTTTGCAAACAGATCAGCCTACAACCTTGGCGGTAACATGATATAAGACACGGCAGAACCTGAACCTGCGCCGCCTGTGAGCGCCAATAGATCCGCCGCCGTGGAGGGCCGCAGAACGCCAAAAAAACAAAAATACTGCAAAAAAACTTTTAGCCTTTCCATTCTGGTGAAGAAGGAAGACCGGCGAAGCTACTCTGGTGGAACAACCTCAAGGGCGACTTCTTGGAAGACCTCAAGGATGACTTCTTGGATGATTTCAAGGACGACGCCTAGGGGACGTCTGGGACTTCAAGGACGACGTCTAAATGACTTCAAGGACGACGTATAGGACGATCTCAAGGATGATGCCTAGGACGACCTGAGGAACGACGTCTAGGACGACCTCAGGGACGACGTCTAGGACAACCTCAAGGACGACGTTTAGGACGACCTCAAGGACGACTTCTAGGATGACCTCTAGAACAGCCTCAAGGATGACTTCCATAAAGACCTCGAGGACGACCTCAAGGACGACGTCTAGGACGACCTTAAGGACGACTTCTAGGATCACCTCTAGAACAACCTCAAGGATGACTTCCATAAAGACCACAAGGACGACCTCAAGGACGACATTTAGGACGACCTCAAGGACGACTTCTAGGATGACCTTAGAACAACCTCAAGGATGACTTCCATAAAGACCTCGAGGACGACCTCAAGGACGACGTCTAGGACGACCTTAAGGACGACTTCTAGGACGACATCTAGGGAGACGCCTAGAAAAATTCAGCCTTTCCACTCTGGTGAAAGCCAGAGCGGAAAGGCTGGAGAGGTTACCGCCATCTATGAGCAAGGCCGGCAAGCCGGTTGTTTCGTTGTTGTCGCCGCTCATAGATGGCGGTAGCTGTCCAGAGTTTTGTGTCGACATTTGTTTGGTACCGGACACAATCCTGGGGAACCTAGCCCTTAACAGCTCCACTGTAGAAAAGAATTCCGATTGACTGACACTGTTTGTATTGGGCGTTTTCAGATAGCATCGAACGACCATGTCTGGTCGACATTTTTTTATTTTTGCCTAAAATATATTTTTTTGCTTGTGCAACTGCCAAAACATAATCAAACATTTTGTGCGGAAAATAAAATGTCTCGAGGAAAAAAAGTCACAAAGACGCTGTCGGTATATGAGCACGTTTTTGCGACTTGCGTGAAACCATTCTTTTGGATATTTATTAAAGAAAAACTGCCGTCGTCTTAGGTGTAATATTTTTTGTGCAGAGACTGAACATAAAATAAAAGGAGGTACTAAACACGTATCATCGATTACAAAGCAATTCAGAGCTTTATGGATCCGGATTTTAAAACATCGGAAATTAAAATATTTTAACAAGTTTTGGACGCGCTTGTTTAATACTCGCATAAATTGTCATCGAGGTTGAAAACGACTACTACCTTCCTAAAAAAATACACTGAAATGTAGAAAGGCTACCGATTTCGCAATAATTGGAAAATCGGTTTAAAATGAAGGCCATCTTAATTTTTCTTCTACTTTTCCCAGATCGAGGCTCATATAATCTGTCCCATCAGGCCCTTCAAAAATGCTTCGCAATATTTTCGTATTTTTGAATTTACAGAGCGCTAAATATACGTAATTGCTGTAACGGGAGAAGAGAAAGATAGGACGTTGCCCATTTCAAACAAGGGCAAGAAATGGGTCTAAAAATGTAGGAAGTCTGTGAAGAGAAAGCATTGTGATGGGAGTTTGTGAGAAATACAAATTCATACAAAAGGTTACAGCTGAGTTTGAAACCCAAGTTCCAAACAACCGAAACTCATCCCCGACATTCCCACTGGACCAGCAAACGTAGAGACGGGGGCTCTACGCCTCAAAAGCAATCCAGGAACGAGGTCACCCGCAGTCTCGGCTGCGACCCAACTCGGCATAAAATGGCGTACACGAGCGATCCCTTCACCACAATGGGCGTGAAGGCTGAATCTCAAGGCCATAAAAAAACACATCTAAATTGGAGAAAATCAAATAAAAGGAAGCGTGGCTACGTACCTGTCTCTGCGGGAAGCACCGGATCGTCGGCTTCCGTCGGATCTTGAGGCTCTGCGCACCAAAGGTGGTTCCAACATTCAGAATGGCACCTGGCCGTGAAATGACACGGAGACAACAGACCAATCTTGCCGGCCACTGCTGCGTTGCCACGTTGCTGGGCCTCTTGGGAAACCTGCGGCTCTGCAAAGGATGAGGTGGAATTCAACCTGTTGCCGGCGATTGAATGTCAAAATTGCTAATCTAATGAAGTACCTGGATTTGTGTGGAACGTAACCTTTGTCACGTCCATGCGACCTGGTGGTTCACCTGGAGGGGAAAACAATACGACACGAGCCGTCGCATTATGACTAAATGTTCCCATTACAGAAAGAAATGTCATCGAGAAGATACCTTCCGTCAGAGCTGGCACTGGGTTCCCAGGTTCCCGAACCTCCTCGTAATATTCTGGCTCTGGGAGTGAACAAGAAACCGAGATAAATTTGAATAAAGGTAATGCTAAGGCACAGAGTAAAAAAAAAACAACCACCAACTTTAGGACAGACCTGATTTGACGGACAGAAGATGGCAGCTAGGCTCTTCGTCCTGTTCGACATATTCGGGTGGCTCTGCAAACGCAGGGACGGCACAGCAACACATTAGCTTATGCTAAAACACCGTGGAAACTATACTACCGTATTAAGAGATCCTAAAAGGAGGCTTAGCTTGAGATGCCACGAGACGTGTGGCTTCTGCCAAGATACGAAGGGAGGAGGCCCTAAGCTTAACAGCCACGAGACATACCTCCTGAAGGCGCTTGCTCTTTGCTAACAAGAAGTTCAAGAATGGTCCCAAGGAACGCTTTAGGTTACGCCGAAATGTAAAGAGATAAAGCTAGAACAAACTGTGCTATACTTTTCCCCACATCAAGAAATACCGTGAAATGTGCCAAGGAAGAGGGCAACTCTGCTCAATCCTTTATAGATCTGCGGTTACAAATATCTTGGGAACAGCCAGCTTTACAAGCTTTTTTTTTGTTTTTTTTTCTTGTACTGTGTATAGAAAGATAGTTGGTGCAATAATCACACAAATTACTAGCTATTGTGGAGATGAATTGGAAACATAGAGATCACATTTTTCTTAATTATATACAATGGAAGCATTAAATATACTGCCTTGCATGAAGACAGGTCTACATTATTAATGCCTAGGGTTTTCAGAATGAGATTAGAAATTAGGAATGCTACTAGTATAATTGATGCTACTAACCCTGATTCGGCCAAATTAAAAAAAAAAACTCTTTGTGCCATAACTTGATATGTTGAGGCTTTCTGCGAGCACATTTCTGAAAATGAGACTGGCAGTTTTCCATCTGTTTGTAAATTATTCTGGCTCCTGAAGCTATAATGTCGTTGGATGGCAACAACGATCTGGTTTAAAACAAGAGCCGTCTGACTGCAAACTTCTCAGACCCTCCCGCTGCATGTTGTCTGTGGTCCTTCCATTGCACCGTAGAAATCTCGCATGTTGGCTGTCCTTTTCATCTTCCGTTTTAACTTAAAGAAGCTACAACGCCCTGCATGCAAACTGGTCATCTGGCAACACACCCGTCTTGATAGTCGCAGCTGCCATCGTGCCATTGCCGCTGGAACCGTCCACCCCTGGAAGAGAAGATGCCAAGAGGCGACAATCAATAAAAAGTTACGCACTGGAGATTATGGTGTCATTAAAGGAGCACTCCTGCCATTCTTTGAGCTACCTCAACCACGGCACGGCTGTCGGGGTAGCTCAAAACGTTACTGGTTGTAGGAGGCTTTGTCCACGGCACGGAGCCTCCTACAACCAATAACGTCGACCCATCAGACTGCCGTCCACACGAGATGCCAGTCCCGTGTTCGCCGAAACAGTTCCGCACTGCCGGGTGGCAAAACACGCGAAATATAATCGATCGAGCAGAAAAATATATACCGTGTTTACTCGCATAATGAACGCACGCCCCAAAACGGGTACCAATATTTGGACTTCTTTTTTTTCCTCCTCATGTAATGAACGGACTTTCAATTCTCAACTAAACGAGTCTCAAAGTGCGTCCACTTCAGCTAGGCACCAGTGGCGTAAATCACGGGGGGTTCCAGGTTTGAGGATTTAGTCGGTTGCCGTCCTTTATTTATTTTCTGGGTCCTTTGCAAATCTCCGTGTCTGGATTTCCTAATTTACAGAAAGCTTTAAGCTGAGGGGAAAATCTTATGTATCCTGTCCCCACGGGAACCTCCTCGGTGCAAACTTCCGTCGCGTCTTGCGGCTCTGCACACACAAGTGGTTCCAAAGTTTAGAATGGCACCCAGCCATGAAACACCACAGAGAGAACAGACCAATCTTAAGAACCACCGCTGCACCATCGTGTCCTTGGATCGCTTCGGACGTCTGTGCCTCTAAAGAAAAAGATCACATTCTATGTATTGGCAGCGACTGAACGCCACGATTGCCAGGTTAATGGAGTACATGCCTCCATTCAAGTGTATTGTGACCTCTGCCTTATTCATGTAATCTGGCAATTCAGGTACGAGGTAAGAAAAAGAAATTATGGGAGACACGACATTCAGGTGGCACAATCTTACCGTAAAACACCAAAGGAGTGCCCGCCCCACTTTCGCCAAAAATTGGGTTAATCTAGAGGTCGGCGCTCGTCCGGTCAAATCGGGCACTTAACGTACGAGGTGTGATCTAAACGTTCCGGGACCGATTCTGTAGCGTGGAAAAAGAGGGCAGCACACAGATGAGTGCGCAGCAGTCCGAGGCAGGGACCTTTCTGCATCATTATGCCAAAGGGTGTCGCTCTGGGAACGTCTGAAACTGCGCTACACGAGTTTGTTCGACCACATGCACAAACACAATCGCAATCTCTCCGTAGACTGCAGGCCAAAGCGAGAGCAAACACCTATTTTACTTCAAACTCGACAAATGTATTTGAATGTATTTCTTTCGCTTTTTTATTCCTCCGGGCGAATCAGTTTTTTGAAGCAAGATTGTTCTTTTACATCTTGTATGTATTACCACTCCTGTAAAGGCCCTGTAAAGTGCCGACAGTAGCAATAAATAAAAAAAATCTAAGACAGAGACTCGTGAAGAAATTATTTAGAAGGCTAATGTCAAAAAGCAGCGAGGTGTGCGAGGTGTTTTGAGTGTCACTCGCGCCACAGGAATGGCAGAATGTCGCCAAAGTCAAGGAGAGGTCGAATAAGGTTGCCCTACCGCTCTTGGACTGCCAGCAATGTTCTGCCATTCCTGAAGCGTGTGTGCCACTTAAAACACTTTGCGAAATTCGCCGCTTTTTGTCGCAAGTGTGCCGAATCATTTCAAAGGTTATTTGTTGAGTTTGATGCAGAACTGATGTTTGCTCTGGTTTGCAGTCCAAGGTGAAATCACCATTGTGATTGTGTACATGGTCACAAATCTTGTGTCCAAAGCTCCAAACGTTCACAGAGCGACGCCCTTTGGTATAAGGAAACACGAGGGTCCTTCTTTCAACTGCTGCGTGAGCAACACTGTGCTGCCCTCTTTTCTTACGCTACAAAATCAGTCCTGGAACTTTATGATCACACCTCGTATAAATTGCAAGATTCCCGAATTTGAGAAATGTTCATAGCGGGCTTTTACATCAAGTGGGTGGTTTCGGCGTTATTTTACGGTAGGTACAAAAAGAAGCGTTATTGGCAACCCACCTTTGGTAAGAGCAGGCACTCGGCTGTGAGGTTTCCAATCTACCCCAAAGAGATCCAGCTCTGCGAGCATAAAAGAAAGCAGTATTCTTTTTAACAAAAATTAATAAAATCCAAAATGCTCTAAAAAGGGGCATAAATTCAATGACAGACCCGACTTCACGGACGCAAGATGGCTGCCGGGCTCTTTGTCCTCTTCGACATAATCTGGTGGCTCTGCAAGCGGAGCAACAAGACACCGAACTTGTAGCTCGCATTAAAACGCAATGGAAACACTCCTAGGGTACGCTAAGAGATGGCCTAGCTCAAGATGTCTGGCTTATGCCAAGGAGGGGCTTCTCTCATCCCGTCTTCAACGCAAGTCTCCAACCTTCGACGACACTTGGGCGCGTCGTGCACCTCGAGCATGCATGGAAGCAGACAAAGCACGGCAGAGGCATGGAGCACGTGCTGAAGGCTGAGCAAGAGACGTGCCCTTCTCACTCTATCCGTGACCATAACGAAAATGGAGCCCGAAGGGGGCGTTTTAGGTCATGCCGGAAAGAACGCAAGAAAAGCTAGAGAACTTGGAAGGGTCATGCTCCTAGGTCACTTACATTTAGCACTTTCTCTTTTGGTCTTTGTGCTACTTAGCCTCCCGTATGACATTCTCTTTAAAAAAATCCTCGAAGGAGGCGAAGCAAAAGATGGCCCGAACCCCTTGAATAGGCTCCGCCCCTCTCTGCAGGGCTACGGCACATCAGCAGTTGCGGCGTACATGGAATGGTGTACTTGAGTACATTAGTTTCAAGTATACAACTAGATAAAAACAAAGGGTATAAACCAACATTAGGTGGCACAATACAACAATCGCACAAACTATTTGAACTACAGAAGACTGGAATTATTTACAACACCAGGGAGCCACCAACTTCGTTTAAATTATCAGAAATTCATCTCAATATAATTTGAGATAAAACTATGGCTCGACGTACGAATGGCTACACGTACAAAGCAGATATTTGATGATCTTTTTTAAATGCATGACCCCAGTTTATTTGTTCCTCAAATATGTTTATCGTGGACTGTTCAGGGAGCCCATGACAACTTAAAAAGAGAATCAAGTTTGTTCATCGGGAGAAAAAGTTGTCCAATGTGAACCTTTAAGCGAGGGAGACACGAGCGATGAAAAAGGCCACCGTTTTCATAGCTCCTGGTCCCCTGGTTGAGGCCCGTTGAGTGCGCTTCTCAACGAGCCCCAGTGCACTGAAGCTGCCCAGAAGCAACACCCGTGGAAGCAAGCTCCGCCCGTGTTGCCTCTTTGCAGTGCACCGGTCCTTGGAAAGAAGCGCATTCAACGGGGCCGCCAGAACAAAAAGTATGATTTGCACAAAAATGCCGTTTGAATTAGGCACCTTATGAACGATGAATGATGAAAATTTCATCATTATTGTCCAGCTCGCTTGCCCCTTTGCATTTAATTGCATTCTAATTATAACCTTATGAACACAGTAAAAACATAACGGGACAACCAAAAATGCTTATATTTGTTGGAATAAAGCAACAGTGTGAAATATCAAAGCTTGGATTATTGCGAGCCTACTGTATGACATACAAAGATGGGACACTAACTGTAACACACAAGCATCCGTTGAAATATTTATCATTCATGCATAAGGTAAAGACTTGTTTCTTCAAAACTCAGTGACCAAGGACTGCAAGTACTCATGTCCAAGTGTTTTTACAAAGCCCTATAAAAAAATTCAGCTCTCAAAACGTTAAGCTATTGGGAGACACAATTTGTGTGAATCCTCACCCTTCTAGAAACAGTGACTAGCGGTTTTTCATCCGAGCGTAAATGAATATAGATATTCTCAAGCTATAATAGTGTCCAATCGTAAAAAATTCGAGCTAGCAAACTGGAGCCATGCAAGTGCAGAAATCAAGGCCGCCAATGCACTGGATCGCTTCTCGTAGGACGAGGAACTTCTCAAAATTACTTCCCGTTTCCCAGGCCGATGAAGAGAGGCCTACATGTGGGTGCAACAGTCCGTCCTATTTGGGTCCGATTTAATCGCATAAACCTCTAATGTTGGCAGCCCTTTTGACGCCACGTTTTCACCCGACATGAGCTGCCACACAGTGTGCAAAGTGCTCGTGCAGCAACGAACCTGTCTTGATGGTGTTGGCTGAAATGGTACTCTCACCACTGGATCCACCCCAGCCTGCAAAGAGAGATGCCAAAAGGCTTGGTGAACACGCAGGGACCCGCTGGAAATTAAGATGCTGTTAGGGGCCAGATGTGAGCACAGAAGTGCTCTGCCACCAGTGTTGGCTAGAGTTCATCTAAAGCATACTGTTTACGTTAAGTACAAAGTAAATGGGAGCTTATGCGCCTCAAGTATGCTAGCAAGTAAGCAGAGTGCAACATACTTGTATATACGTATGTATCTTTCATTTCAAACCCAAAAAAGGGTCTGGGGCAAAAGAAGACGAGTGGTCTTCTGACGAGGCTCCAGCCCCATTTTCACAACACCCGGAGGCGACACAGGAACATAAGCAGAATCAATATACACAGATAGGGCAATTTTAAAATCCACAACAACACACAACTGTCAACTTCGTACTAACTGCAGATCATGAGTGATTTAGTATATATCCTACAATCCTTTTTTTAAAATGAAAAAACGAAATGTGCGCTTGGGCCATTTCTGCTCTGTTTGGGTCTTTGTTTAGTAGATCTGGTACGAGATATGTAAGGTGCTGTGTACCGTAATTAGTTTGAACCCTGGGGTTCGTATACTGTGCACTTCTAAGACTGTAATTTGCCGAGGTTTGATCGAAGATATAAAGAAAGGGCGCTTCGTTTTGTCTAGTTTTATTAAAAATAAATATAGATAATCTGAGGAGCCGGATTTGATCTATATTTAATATTTTACACTTTTGAAATGCTGGGAATGAGTGTTCGTACCTTTTAAGGTTCTCAATAAATCAAACAGCCTTCTTTTGCAAAATAAAGAGTTTTTCCTTATTTGTTTGTGTAGTGGTTCCCCATACTAACATAGAGTACTGTAAGCGTGATTAGACCAGCGAATAATATAATTGCAGTTTCACCCTTTTTGGTAGTAATTGTCGGAATTAGTTTAATATTCCTATTGCTCTCGCAATATCAACCCTCATTTTTTCTATGTGTACAGTCCAACTGAGTGTTTCTTCAAACCATACAGCAAGAAACTTGCGATATTTAACGCCTTCAATTTTTTTCCCCGTCAAAAAAGATGTTCAATGTACGCGAAATAGGTTTGTTTTTTGATCTGAACAACACATATTTTGTTTTACTAGTGTTAAGATTAAGCTGGTTGCGCTTTAGCCACAATGATAATTTACACAGTCAACTATTTGCAAATTCCTCGAGCTCATCCAGATTTCCACTAGAAAAAAAAGACATTGGTATCATCGGCATATAAAATAATATCACGCGATTCAGGTATATTCCCAATATCTTTTATATAAATTAGAAATAATAGAGGCCCCAGTATGGAACCTTGCGGAACGCCATATATTATCGGTGCGAGTTGAGATTGAAATCCATTAAGTATCGTATATTGAGAACGCGAATATAAATAGTTGCAAATTAATTCTAGTGTATTACCTCTAATTCCGTACGCCGATAGTTTCTCCAGTAAAATTTCATGTTTTATTGAATCAAACGCGTTTCTGAAATCCAGGAAAATCCCAATGGTATAAGCGTGGTTTTCTATATTAGTAATTATTTTATCTTCGATATATATTAGGGCTGATTCGGTTGATTTCCCTTTCTGAAAACCAAACTGTTTGTCAGTTATAACATTATTAATAGTAAAAAACCTGTAAAATCTTGAATTGTTTTTTCTACAACCTTGGAAAAAAGTGGAAGTACAGCCTGTAATTATTAAGCTACTCATATGTGCCTCCCTCGTGAATAACACTGACTTTAGCAATTTTCATTTTTTCTGGGAATATACAAGAAGCCAATATTTTATTTTATTACAAAGATCAACAATTCAATTCAATAATTAACGAGGTTAGTGCTATTAAAGCACCAACTCCGTTACTGCTTTAATAGCGGTAACCTTGATATCATCAACACCACTTGCGCAGTTATTTTTTAGGGACATAAGTATGTTGCGAACTTCTGTTTCATCTGTTGGTTCTAAAAATATTGAGCTTAATACCGGAACAGATGAGAAATGGCTATCATATACGGCCACTGATTCCCATGCACCAGATGACAGAAAATGTGTATTAAATTTATCTGCCAATAAAGCTTGCGCATATAGAGTACCATCTATTTTAAGTTCTTCGGGGATGAAAACCGGATTTACTGACATTAATTTTCTCATAGTATTCGACAGCTTAGCTGGGTCTTTATAAATTTCAGAGAACATAGATTTATAAAAGTTTATCTTCGCCTTTTTAATGTCGAGGGAAAGTTTGTTTCTGCATTTTTTATATTCCACAAGTAAACTCTTATTTTTAGTTTCGATAAACGTTGGAAACATCTGATCACGTGCTTCGATTCGGTTGTTGAAGTAGACTACCACAAATACAATGTACTTTCAAAGTAACTTTTTAATGCAATCTTCCGTCATGCCAATATATTCCCATAGATTCTTTTGCACTGGTACGGATTACTCCAAGGACAATCACGGGTGCATCAGTCATTTTCAGAAACGGCGGGGGACACTAAATAAAGTCGAGCGGCCACATACTACAGCTGTTTCACTCTCCCTGACAAACTATTTAACACAATCAACTCATAAGGCCCTTGTACCTGTCTTGTAGCTGCTGCGACTTTAGCGAGAGAAATGAACAGACAACACCTTAAAGGGACAATGAAGGCAATTTCACACATCTTTTTGGCGATTGAACTGGTTTCCAGGCACGTTTCATGTCACGCTGCCCAAATTTCAGCCGAAACCTGCGCTTCTATGCCGCGCAAATCAATTAAACAGTCGCGGTAATAATCGTACCGGGATCGACTGGAGCGACGCCCCGAGAGTTGCGGGAGAAGCCAGGAGAAGCGGAGCTCACGTGATCGATTCGGGGCCAAGAAGCGCGACGTCACAAGAGACGCGTCAGCGATTGGTTGAAACGAGAAACGTGCCCTCGGTCACGTTTTGGTTCGCAATCTTTTAGGAATACTGTTCTAATTTCCACTTGAATAACCATGAAAAGTATAAATCGGACCGAAAATGATTACTAAACGGTAAATAAAGCAGCATAATTGTTTTTTGCTTTGCTACGCTGGACGCGAAGCGGGCAACGAACAACTATGGGCAAACAAATTAAAATAAAAAAGAACACGGTACTGGAAGGATTCTGCAAAATGGTAGTCTTAGATGGCTGTTCCAACGGTCGACTGAAGACCAGTATTCGTTCGGGCGACACTAGTTTTGTGTTCTTTGACGACGAAAAAAGGACGTCCGCGGAGAAACCGGATCCCGGAACGGCGGGATCGCTGCCGCTTTCCCCTCCGCGTCTCCCCCGCGTCCGTCCTTCGGCATGCGGGCCGCTGGTTGCCGGCCGGGCGGTCTCCGTCGGGTGATGGCAGAGGCCGCCACACAGGTACTCCCGTTCCGTTGGTGTTCGGTCACTGAACGGAAGCTCGAACTCGCTCGCGAAAGCGGCATTGCCGTCGATGTTGACAGATTCGGCGCAACGACCGCGCCACCGCGCTGCTATAACCCACCGCGGTAACCAGACTCTCGATCTCCTAAATGCTACCGATACCGACTATTCACACCTGACGTCACTCCCCACGTCACCTCCGTTTTCGGAGGCCCAGAAACGAGAACGGAGATTGTTCAGTTTCGGTTTCTTTACTTCTTTCGTAGGCACAAAAATACGCGTCACAAATGTCTACAAAAAATTGGGCAGCATGCTATGTTCTCAAGAAGCATAAAAACACCATTTAAAAAAATTAAATAAAATCGTCTTCATTGTCCCTTTAAGGGGGGACACTGGCTAAAGGTTGAACTTTTGAGCTACTCAAGTGATGTGAATGAAATTTGCAGGGGAGATTTAGCTTCAGATGTAGGTGTACTGTGCAAACTTTCAGCTCTCTAGGACAAATTTACATACCTGCATAAGATGATGTGTCACTCTTTATTAAGAAATTTATGATATGCAAATGAAGCTATTAAGCATCATTTTGACTGCTCGAGTGTAAAGGGGGGGATGTGGGACCTTGGGCTATCTAGTTTTAATAACTTAAACAAATATTTCAGGAAGAGTTATTACCTCAAAATATGAGATGCATATCCGTCCTATGTCAATTTTTGAAAATTTAGTTTTTTATCACTGAGGACTTCAACTCGAAACAAAATAAAGTAGATAGCCCAATTCCCCAGTAAATTTCAGTTCAGAAACACCTTGGTTGTGGTATCAAAATACTTTCACCTTCGAACAAAAAATTCCTTCGCATGAAGTTTGCAGCAAAAAGTGGAACTGAGAAAAATGCATTCAAACACTGAACTCGTTTACTTTGCTACTGCCTCACAACATGTTGAAAATATTTTATATCAACGTAACTATTTGGCGTATGGTTACCAAATTTGGTGTAAGGGTGTGTAATTAGTTCCTAAACCGGAAAACCTCAAAATTGAAAAATAAATTTAAAAAAAAAATTCTATTTAGGCCCATGTCCCCCCTTAAAAGATAACAGCGCATGAAATAAAATGAAAGCACACGTACATACTCAGAGAATGTACATCGAGTAAACTACAAGTTTTCTGAACCTTCTTGAGGTAGTACTTGAAAGGGATACTGAATCGAAACTTTATATATACAGGAAACGTCAATAGGTCCGAATTGGATCAGTTAAACCTGTAAATGATAACTGCATGCCTGTATTTTGAGCAGGTGGCTATATTTTTTTTCTTCTAAACTTCTTCAACTGCTTCAGGTTGAAGCAGAGAGATGAGCTCCGAAGTTTGCTTTCCATACCGCTTCAAGTACTATGTGCTTAAAGTACTTCCCAATACTGCCTGCCACCCTTATCGATGAAAAGCAGCTGGGTATCTTTGCCCTCAAACTATGGGCCACAGGGGCCAAAGACGTAAAAGTGAAAACTTGCCCGGTCCATCGTCTGGCAGTATGCTTTCTTGCACTTCATCCTGCACACCTGAGACAAAACATTCAAAACATGATGAATCATGCATGAACAAAATATACATATATAATGATAGAGTAAACAAGTTGCTGCTAGAACCAGCCTGCATCTCACCTGACAGATGGCCCACAAAACTGTCATTTCCAGAGTTCTTTTCAGAAGTCTCCACGTCAAAACCTTGCAAGTTACGAAAAAGAAAAAAGCTTCGAGTTAAAGCAAAAAATGGTGGGCTAAGGCAACAAGCAATGGCTATATAATTACAGCCTTTCTCTCTCAAAAAAAAGGTTAGTTTAAACAGTTTGATAATGCATTGATATCACATTACGCCAACAAAGCAAAAAAAAAATGGATTGGGGTTTTGACGAGTTTTTTGCCAAAAGATGTTTCCCAGTGGCTGGGTTTTGTTTCCAAAGGAATCGTTTAAAGAAGGGGTCAATGCAAAATATATTTTTTAAATATTTGGTGGAAGCACATACAGCGATTGCAAGCTGTTCAAGTGTAGAAGAATTGAATGAAAAGATATTGAAGGCAAAAGTTGTCACCTTTCATACGGTTTCACTGTGCGCAGCCACTTCTACGACATTTCGGCTTTTTCAGATTCAGAACCGGCGGCACTTTACAGAGCTTCTCCGTCGAATGTAAGCTCTCATTCTCTGAATTACACGACCGAAGTTACCATCTTGCGCGTATCATGTGCACAGAGCTTCTAATTACTTTAAGAACGAGTCAAATACAATTAGAAATTTTAAAAAAATCAAATAAGATCGCCAGTCAAAGAAAACACAAAAATATACGTATTGAAAGCATTGATAAAACTTTGTCTCCGAGCGACAGCAAATTTGCTCGCTTTCCTTCAGAGACGCCTCACGTGTGGAGCAAAGTTCGAAGGAGTCTCAGCTATCAGCTGTGCAGATTTCTTTGGCCGGCACTTTACAATTGTTTCGCGTACGAACCAAATCGCTCTCAAACACCGGTCCACGGAGACATGGAACGCACTTCCCGACAAATAGTTCTTAAACCGCTTCGGGCGCACTTTGGCCGTGGCATGCTCCGACGGACGCGGAACTGGCCCCGAAGTTTATGAGTCTTGCTGCGGTCTGCCAACGTGACAAAGCGTGGGCTTGCATTCTGTGAATTTGGCGTCAGCTTTGGTGGACTGCGAAGCACTGGCCAGATGTTTACGCTTCACGTCCCCACCCTTTTGGTTGCACTTGAAAAGAGTGTCGTGCAGACACTCCATGCAATGCAGACGACACGGAATCCGCACTGCACCAATGGTGTCGCTCCGCCTTCAAAACTCGACGACAGGAACAGAGGGACACACGGACGGAGGACAAATTTCTGAGGTTTAGTTCAGTCGGAACAGGAGGTATTCCCACGACGTCAATCTGCCGTTTTTGTTGTCGGATGCCAGCCTGAGCAGACTTGTAAGCCGAGAAACGGAGAGAGGAGCGGACGAGACCGCAGGAACGCAGAGCTCCGCTTTTAATGGTTAGTGGGTATACCTAGTTCCGAATCTACCCACCAATCGTTCCAAACTGAGCTCAGCCTTCCAACGTCCCCACCTGCTCTCGTCTCCTCCAGTTTCTGGGCGCACAAGCTTCGTCAACTACACAGGTGAGGATGTCACGTCCTTAAAGGGCGACTTCGGTCCATAGTTTCGATCTTGGGATTAAGACTGTTTTTAGCGCAGTCAGCGTCCCTGAATTACAAGGTGCACTTTTTTTCTCGGTATTCCGCGTAGTTTTAAAGATATCGACGCCTTAAAGTTTTGTTTGGGGCGCAGTCGACAAAACCAAAACTAGCCGCTCGAGGCCCCAACGACACCGGAAATCGGCCGCTAGACGGACGTGACGTCATGGCCGTTCTCGTTCATTGAGTATGCGGTCCAAGCGGCAGCTACTTCAGTTGCGCTGGTTGTTTAAAGATAAAAGGTAAGCTTTCTTTTAATTCCATATACCGGGTAGATATCCAGCATAAGTAGCCAGAGTTGGTGCGTATACCCAAAAGCTAGCAACTGGAAGAGAGTGAACTCGTTCGGTGCCGGTGGAGGACGGCAATCTCACTACCCCTCCGCTTGGACTACGGTAGTGGTCGTGGCGTACGCCAAAATCGATACCGTAGTCGTTTATTTCGCTAAAACGGCAGAAGTAACTTTCTGCGGCAAAATATCCCGATGGTTTGTCGTTTTTTGAACGAGCGGTGGACGTGCGTGTGGCAGGCGTTGATTAACTTTGTACCCGGGGTCTGTCGCCGTGCGCTCGTCCGTACTTGTCTCTAGGCCTTTCGCTTTCGCAATGGGGGTCAGTCCCAGACACGAAGCTTGGGGGCTCTCCAGCGTGGGCCACGGCCTCCAGACGCGCGTGTGCTGGGCTGTATACGTTTGTTTTTTTGTGTTTTCTTTTTCCTCAGGTACATAAAAAGCAAATTTGTAAGCTACGACACTGTAATTTACCACATAAATGTGTCTAGGTGGTGCATCTAATTTGTGAAAATATCGAAGAAAAAGCTTGCCACACTCAAAAGCTAGAAAAAAAAAAACAAAGAAAAAACACTCGTGAGTGGAGCTAGTTAGTGGTTGCAGTCTACATGCCCACCATTCCCCATTCAACGGACCGCGGATGCTCCACGTTCAACACGGCACTTAACAATGACTGCTTTATTGATCTGGATACTTTTATCGTGTTTACCTTTTATGCGCAACATGTCCCTAAAAGATGCGAAGTTCATTCCTAAGTTGACTGCATGTTTTACCTTACATCTTCACTGTGATTCGGCTGGAATCATCCCTTTCACTAATTTCATGCAGGACGTATATCGACAACCCACAAATGTTGCTTTTTTTTTTATCTCTGCCTCCTTTCTCCGTATAGTATAAATAAAGCATTTGATCTTGAATCTCTGCACGAAGGTCGTATGCCGAGTTCCAAACTGAGCAAGCTTCTTCTTCTTTTATTTTTCATTCAGCAGACACATTGTTTTGTGAAGACATCGAAGACGACGATAGCTGGATCCATCTGCACACGAGCCACTGCCACCTGCTGACGAACTTCGCAGGAAGAGTGCTTCTGTCTGACACCACAATGCGCGCGGGTGCGCACAGAGTTGCTCGCTAAAACGAGCCTTGGTGCCCTCGTAAGCAAAAAGACAAAAGGCTATACCGAAGCTACATGGGCTACAGATAAAAGCAACGGCTAAACACGACAAGCACCAGCCGAAGTAGCGGCGGTAACATGTCAAAGAAGCGCACTTCACGCTGCTCGACCGCGCAACGGGTAAGCCCGTCCAGACTGGGGAAAAGAAAGAGAACGACCACGACGTCGCGGCCCAAGGTTGCTCGAGCGATCGATGACCCCCTGGCAGCCCACTAAGGAGCGGCCGCTCGCGGCGGGTCGCATTTTTGTCATCGCGATTAGTTGGGAATGCGACGTCCCCTTGATCTAATATTGGAGTTGGGGTTGTATTTTGTGCGACTAAAGCGATACCAGCAACTTATTTCCTTTTGAATTTTGGCCAAAGGTGCCCTTTAAAAGGCTCAACTTCAGCCAGACAAGTTGGAGCGGGAAATGTTTCTCGCAAGAACCTCGTACCAGGCAGCAGCCAGTCAGAGAAGAGGGTCCATACCATTGTTCTCCTCTTCCCTGCTGGTCCTCCTTGAGGCTATCTGGAACTGATCCGGGCCAAAGTCCCCCTGAAAACAAATAAACTTTTAGCCTTTCCACTCTGCTGGAAATGGAAGACCAATGAAGCTGTACTCTGTCACACGTGACGCCGAACGGGTCCTCCACGAATTCCCTCCAGAAGCTGGCCGTCGCACCCGGGAACTGTTCAGCCGGCGTGGCGGCCCGTCGTCGCCGGGCCTCGCGCTTGCGCTTGGCTTCCCTGGCACGATCCTCGTCCGTTTTGTTGGCCCGCCGGCGCCGTTCATATTGCCGGTTCTGTTCTCGGCGGCGTTCCAGGCGGGCAATCTTCTCTTCTTTCGCGAGAAATTCGGAATTACACGACGCAGTGGAATTCGAGGCCATAGCCGCTTGGCGGCGTTTGTTGCGCTGCCATTCAAGCTGCTGCACACGCCGCCGCTCCTTGCGCTCCTCCTCTTCTTGCTCCGAATAAAGGCGACGCGGCCGACCCATCGCGAGTCCAAAGGGCAACCGATAAGAGCCCCAACGCGATCTCGCCGTCACGGGACACAGGACGCACACGATTAGTAGGTGAGACAATGACGTTTCATTCTAGTAGGGCCACTCCAATCACGGGGCGTGCTCGATGTCCCAAACGCAGGCGGCCACTGACGCTGGTGAAGAAGGTGAAGCTGCGTGACGGCACAATGGACCGGCAAGCCTCCATTGCCGACAGCATTGGGGGAGAGACGGCACGGAACACAATGGACGACTCTCCTCGTCGTATGAGACTGAGGATAACAGTGAACTGGCTCGAGTCTTGTGTCGACACGCCGCTTGTACGCGGACACGATAGTGGGGGAACTGGCCCTTAACAGCTTCGCCGTAAAAAATTGCAAACGACCACGCAAACAGGATTGCGATCGACAGCCAACAGCGGGAGCTGTTGCGTGGTCGCAAGATGTGCGTTAGATTAAATACCCTCTGCCGACGCGCTTTAGGGTAATCGCTTGAAGAGCTCCACTCCTAGTAGTATAGTTGTAGATGCGCTTTCGCGCGGTGTTTTTACAAAATGTGCTCTCTGCCAAGAAAATCAGAGCGTGACGTGCTTCTAATGTGGTGGTCGCCGCAGCAAAGGGAATGACGTCTGGATCCCGCCACCTCCACTAATTTACGTCCGTCCCGTCCTCCCGGATACTGTCGTCTGGAGATCGTTGTTGACGCTTTCTGTTTTCCTTTTCCTTGCAAACACGGGGGTCTTGACACCTTCTGCACTAACACACTGCCTGTCATGCGTGATACTCAAGGTCCTGCGTCTTTTCCTGTTGTTGTGCCGCTGCAACTCTCAGTAGACTCTGCTCGGCTTGACGTGCTTGCCCTTCCCGCTCCACGGATGGAGTGAATCTTGCGTGGTCTGGCCGTGTCCGGGGAAGGACCGATCTATCGGTGCCCAGGGCTGCGCTTTTTCTTTGTAGGCGCGTCGAAGAACCTTTGGGAATGCCAAAGTGGTAGCAACTGCCGTTTCAGGGCTGCTTCTGTGTGGGGGGTGGCGAGGGAGGAAGGGAGAGAGGGGGAAGCGGGGATGTTAGCGTGTCTCGCCATAAACGACGCAGCTGCGCGAGAGGCGACGGAAATGGGGAGAAGATCCCACCGTGAAAACGAGTTATTAGCCTACGTACGTCACTCCCGAAAAACGTGAGACTGCAACGTAAGGGCCGAAGAGCGAAGTACGAGGTGGGATCAGAAAGTTCCGGGACCGATTTTGTAGCGTAAAAAAAGAAAGCAGCACAGTGATGAGCGCTCAGCAGTCGAAGGAAGGGACCTCCGTGTCTCGTTGTACCAAAGGGCGCCGCTCTGTGAACGTTTGGAGGTGTGTTTCACGCGTTTTCATGACCACGTGCATGGGCACAATGGCGATTTTACTATAGACGACAAACCAGAGCGAGAGCAAAGATCAATTTTGTGTCCAATTCAACAAATATAAAGCAGAGACCTTCGATATGATTCAGCAGGCTTCCGTAAAAAAGCTTCCGTAAAAAAGCAGTGAAGTTCGAAAAGCTTTTTAAGTGGCACTCGCGCTTCAGGAACGGCAGAGCATCGCTGGAAGACGGAGAGTGGTAGGGCAACTTTATCCGACCTCTCCTTGACTTCGGCGACGTTCTGCCTTTCTTGAGGCGCGAATGCCACTCAAAACACCTCGCACACCTCACTTTTTTTTTACGCGAGTCTTCTCAATCATTTTAGAGGTCTCTGCGTTATGTTTTGCTGAGCTTGACGTAAATTGATCTTCGGTCTCGCCTTAATTTGCAGTGTATGGAAAGATCGCCATCAGGCTTGTGCATGTGGTCAGCAAACTAGTGTAGCCCAGCTCCAAATGTTCACAGAAGACACCCTTTGGTGTAACCAAACACGAAGGTTCTTTACTTTGACTGTTGCACGCGCATCACTGTACTGCCCTTCCTTTTTGCTACAAAATCAGTCCCGGAACTTTTTGATCAGCCCTCGTATGCGAAGAAACACGAGAAGTCAAAACGATGCGAGAGAATGCAAACTCCGTCGGCCGTTACATTGTCTACGAAAAGAACATCCCCGGTTGCAAGGCGCGTCGTAAACGAAGGATCTAAAGCACCGCGCATCAAACGCTGCAGACCAACAGAAGTGAAGGCCATCCATGCAGCCTTAAAAGGGCACCGACATACCAAAATCATTATTTTTCATTATCTGAAGCGATTGAAAACGATGCGATTGAAAACGATGCCTTAAGATTACTCTCGAAATTCGAAACTTGGGAATTCAGAATTTGTGAAGTTAAAAAACAATCCCCAGGCGAAAATCAGTCCACTTCCCACTGGAAGTGGACTACTTTTCGCCTGGGTATCTCAATGCTCAATATGAAGTTCCCGCACAACCTGTGCCAGCGTAGCGACATCAAATATTGAGCCGTCCTGCGAGTCGAGTTTCTGCGATGCCTCCGAAGTGTCCTGTTCGTCGGTGTCTTGGGAACAACCGGCTGCGAGCAGACGGCGCTCGACTTTCGAGATTGAAGTTCTTTTATGGCCCTTTCAGCGATCTCAAATTCTTCGAAATGGGGTGAGGACAAAGAAAACGCACAGTGGACTTTTGTGAGCGATGCAAGGGCCACGTCGGGCCGTGTCTACATGAAAGGCTGCCCCGGCAGAGTCACGACACACAGACACCAAACCCAGTTGTCTCGACTGTTTGGCGATTTCCTTTTCGAAGTCGTCAGGCACCTAAAAAAGGCAACTGCGTCAGATTCCCCGACTCGCCAATTATGCTCTCCTTCATGCGTCGAGCGCCGCCATGTTTTCCCAGGGAGGATAAAAAGCCAGGAGGTGACATCACTCCGGACTTTTTAAAGTCTAAAGACTTCAGTCGCGAGACTTTTCTTTTTTTTCTTACAATAAACGTTTTCCAACCAACCAATCACCCCGGACTCTGATTTTTGGTGTTTCAAAAAGAAATGCGCTCGCAATTCTGTATATGAACATGTTTTACGAAAGCCATTATTAAATGTTATAAATATGTCGTTTAAAAAGCTTCTGAATTTCATAATATTTGACATCACGAATCAAAAAGAAGCGAGGAGGTGAGGAGCGGGAAAGAACGGCACCAAAAATAAAAAGGCACACGCACGCGTGGGGAAATTCTTTTGCATGTCTATGACTACAGCTTGCATAGATTCAGGAAACAAAAAAATTACAACCTTTGGGGTGTCAGTGCTCCTTTATAGGACATAATGGCAGACCATAGAGATCATACATCTGGCAGAGGCAGACACGTTGCAAACTCTGACAGTGACAATCTTCACGGACTCACATGAAGCAACCCAGGCCTGCCAAATGCACCTTAAAGGTGTACGGAAACAAAAATTGAAATATTCAAATTTCGTTCGGAAATGAGTCAAGCATACGGATAATAACCGTAAATGATAATCATACGTTTGTATTTTGAACGATTGGCTATATTTTTCGTTCCAAACGGTGCACTCGAGCAAGCGCTCGAAGAGAAGCGAACGGAGAGCGCGATGCGTCATGGGATATCCGGCGCAAACAAAAACAGAAAGAAAAGATTTCCCGCGTTCGTGGAGTAGCAAAGCAGACGTGGTTATGAGCTTTGCCCTTGGTGGCGTTGTCAGCATTGTGGTGGTGTTAATAGCATCAGTGCGTTACAACCGAGCCGTTCGTAGTACCCGTAGGGTGACGAGCGTGTGGCTGGTCCATGGAGCACGTAGCTTCCACAACACTGTCAGCTTAGGGCTGAACGAGGTGGGGAAAGCGACTTTTGTTCGAGTTTTGAGGGACGGGCTAATCTTCTAGGGGGAGAATGGTTGTTTCCGGTTGCACGAACGAGGGTCCGAGAAAGAGAGGAGTCCTCCCTTTCCGTCTTCTTGGACCGTTTGGTACAATGCGCGATTTGTGAGTTCAGGAGGAAAGCCAAGAAGGAAAACGTTGAAATGCCAAAAAGCGGTGCTGCTCCGGAGGAAACTGCTACGTCACGACTACGTAGCAGTTTCCACAACGTTGCTAGACTACCTCCCAAATAGGCTCCGCATGCATCCACCAGGTGCACATTGAAAGTCGTTTACTTAGCTTTAAAATTAGTTTTCTTGTGCTTTTCAACGGAAGACTGGTGTTTTTGAGGTTAGGGTGCGACATGCAACACATTAAAGCTAAAAAATGAGCGCTGAAATTTCGTTTCCCTACCCCTTTAAAACCCAATCACCATGGAATCCAAATGCACCATGAATCATATACGAGCCGAGCAGAGCCAAACACCGACGCGGCCCCCGTGTCCAATCCATGCTCGGAGTACACGATGGAGCAATGGCGGACAGGCGATGGCGTGGATTTTCAAAAAGGGTATATTAAAAACATCCCGAAACTGGCCATAACAAAGAAGACCAAAAGCATTTCTACAGACAGAGCCCCGGACACGAGGGAACGGGGGCCATGAGATGGCCAACGGTGCTGCGGGGGCACACAACCGTCTGCTCCTCCACAGCGAGGACGTGGGCGAGTGTCTCGGTCCCCGCGTTGACGGACCCCGTTGGACGGATGGCCAAGGTCAAGGCCCATCTCGAGGAACAAAAAATGGAGCAACACGAGGGAGGAGGAAACCCTATTCAGGGAAGTTTCCCAAGGTACTCCTACGGAGACTCAGGACGGAAAGTGCCATCAAACCGGCCTGAAAGAGGAAATAGACATGTGCCGCAAGTTTACGTAAAAATCCCAGCTTTATTCCTACACGGGCACCCATACCGAAAGGAGCAGACGGTGCCCGACGTGACTCGTCTCACGTGAATCTGCTGCCGCGTCAAGAACGAGCGGGAAGACTCTTTTGAATCAGTCGCTGCGCAAGACAGGCCGAACCAACTCCAAGGATATGGTTGCACCCGACGGGCGACACGGGCCATAGAGGCAAGATTGTACTCGCCTACCTGAAGGAGACGAAGCTCGGGAGAGAAATCTAAGCCCCTCCCCCCTCCAAACACCCACCAACCTAATCTTTCTATGCAAACTTTCACTATCTGCCCTTGTACGCCCGCTTTAGGCAGGGCAACTTTCTCGGCAACTTTGGGGTTGCAGGCGGGTTGTTCTCTAGCGTTCCCTAGATCGGCACAAATTGCCAAGATCGGGTCCGGCTCGAAACAAGCGAGCAACTCGGAGCAATTCGAAGACGTTGGAAGCGGCACCAGCCAACGAGAGATGCAACATTTTCACGCGATACCCTGTGTCGGTAATGATATGACAGCTAGACCTAGTTCTGGTTTGAAATTGATTGTTTTTTGGAAGCAAACCGTGTCACAAAGATGAGCTAGTACTCTCAACTCCATTTAAATGTATAAAAACATGTTTGTAGCCCGTGACAGTGTGTCTAAATAGTGCAGGAAAAATAAAATGTAATGATGATGATAGCAAATTGCAGCAATTGGTTGCTGCGTGTGAACGCGGGAGGCCCGTGTTGCTGGTGTTGCGACGTCAAGTTGCTGGAAGAAATATCCCCGTATGAAGCGGGACTAACAGCCCTGTCCCGAACTGGTCCTACCACTCTCTAAAGTGCCGTTCACACATATGCAACCGAGTAAGAGTGAGAGAGACGAGACCGGTTGTTAAGCCTCTTGCGATGTGCTAGGACCAGGGGGGCTCTGTTGCACGTCTTGAACTCCCAGGAGACTAGGGAGAAGGAAGTGACGTCAACAACGCAGCAAATGCAGATTGGATGTTGATTTTGTTTTCTTCCGTCAACATCCAATCTGCGTTTGCTCTAGTTGTTGACGTCACTTCCTTCTTCCAAGTCTCCTGGGAGTGCAAAAAGCGCAACATAGTCCCCCAGCTCCGCTGCAGCGGATCCAGTCCCAAGATGTCGCAAGGAGCTTAAAGGGGCGGTGCAACGATTTTATGATTAAAAGAATTTGCATCTCGCAATTTTTACGTTGTTTATCGTGTCCCGGAGGATAGAGAAAACACCTCCTTCATTAAAAATGTTGCGATTCCGCCGCATAATCGCAAAGCAAAAGTCGAGCTTTTTCCCCCACCTGCAGCCCCAAGTGGCAGCCGAAGGAACTACGACGAAAAGATTACGTGACCTCGCTCGGCTCTAAGCTGCAGCATAACGCCCGCTAATGTCAGCAGAGAGGGAGAGGAAGCGTCCTCCGAGATAGCACACGGGAAGCTACACGGCACTCCGAATGACGTCACTAGGAGGGGGACCAGGTGTGACCCTGAATGCTGGGATTGAGTTGAGGGGTGCCCGAAATGCCACTATTTATATTTTTTTACGCAACAACTGGGACGCGCAGGTGAAATCGGTTTTCTGTTCTTTACTTCAGAAGTGTCAGAGGGCAACTTCCAGAAATCTTTGACCGAAGTCCGGAAATCGTTGCACCCTCCCTTTAAAAAGCGGTCTGGTCTCTCTCGGTCTTACTCGGTTGGATATGTGTGAACGGTGCTTAACACTCACAGTAGAATGTGAAATCAATAAACGTTCCTCCACTGCAGGGCTGAGGGGGGCTAGCCTCCTCCGCTGAGTGCCACAACTGAGCTACACGGTGATCCTTCCCTAGTGTCACGTCACGTGCAAGGCAGAAAATTTGGGGGATTTGCGTGCCAAAGCAACGACGGTCATCTGGCACGCTCCAAAGAAAGGCCGAAGTACAATTTGGACCACCAGGGTATCCTTTCACGTGCAACCGAAATCTCGCCAATAAACCTCGGTCGGTCCCATGCCCACGAAGAAGCGTGTACGCACCTCGCGACTGTAGCCCATGTCGACAGTCGGGACGGAGGTCTCGGCGCGCACTCCATCCGTGAAATGCCGCGAGCATACTCGGGAGTACGGCGATGGGCAAACGTCTTCCCGATTTACCGACGCAACTTACTGACGACGGAGTTCTTTCTCATCCGGAAAGCGATGAAGCTTCAAAACATTGCACCCGCACTCGCCTTACAGGCTTCTGTGCACGCTGCAGAGCTCGTTCTATGCTATCGGACGCTTCCGGCGGTTGTCCGTACAACCTAGAACCGCGCAATGGTATCCCGATGACATCCAATCTACAGAAGGAGAAACGAACCTGCGCACAAAGTACGCGAACGAGAAAAAACGCTTGCAAGCTAAGCACGCACAACAGCAACACAAACCCAAACTACCGCGGCCGAAAAAGTGGTCCCTCAATTTCCGCCTGATGACGTCATAGAAGTGTCTTGCTGTCGCCGGTCACGACCCTGGCGGCGTCCCAACAGTTGTGGTATATATATAGCAGACGCCTGTTCTGCTGCAGGACGCTCTCCACTGTGACAGTTCACGGAAGCTACAGCAGCCGGAAGTTGGTACGCCTGGAACACCGTGACGACAGCGACACTCGCGTTCGCTCGTGCTTTTTGCCAGCACTTCTACGGCCAACTGCCAGGATCGCGACAGGCAACAGCATGACACTCCGGCTTCTGTGACGTCATTTGTTGCCACTTTGGGACCACTGATGTATGGGCGGGATAGGACGCTAAACACACCAGTCAAAGACGCGATCCAGGCACAATACCCAAACCGCACAAACCACAGCCACAGCAACCACATACACAGCACCACAGTTCCCGACGATGGATGCAAATGATCCAAATCAACGAGGTTGATGCATGGTTGATGTAAATCATATAAATCGTCCAGACTCCCCAACGCCAACGATGGATGGATGGATAGATAAATTATACTAGAACAGTGTGGCCAGGCCAGCCAGGCCTTGATACGATCATGTCTAGGCATAGAGGTATTATAATGGACAATATTTTTTTTTTTGCAAAGGTTTATTTTAATTTTATGAACAGTTTCAATTAAAAGAAACTAATTTTAATAACTGAAAAAGTGAATAACCTATTTTTTGTTTACCTTATTAACGACAGACTGGCCGATTGGCCAGCCTGTCGCGCATGCGCATACAAGTCGAACCCATTCGGTCGAACCCGAGTCGAACCTGGTCGAACTCGAACGCTCGAACCTCCACTGCCTCCACCGGTTCGCGACATTCTCATCGCTAGTTTTAAGTGGACTTCGGAGACCTGCGTGTTTTTAAGATGGTGCGGCATTGTGCGGTAGAGGACTGCGGCAACTTCCTGATACGTTGCGGCAAGCCTATCCATCAGTTCCCTAGGGACGAACAACTTCGTGCGCTTTGGATCCGGCTCGCACGGCCGTCCTACCCGACCTGGCTTCCAACTGACAGTGACCGCTTGTGTTCTGATCACTTTCGGGATGAGGACTACGAGCGGAGCCCCAGGGTGATGGAGTCCTTGGGCTTCCCGGTGAGGAACGTACAACTCAAACCAGGAGTTTTGCCCACTTACTTTTCGAAGAGGCGCAAATCCGACGACCACAGCGAACCCCTTCACAAGCGACGCAGAGTGGTAAGGGTCTGTCGACTATTTCCGAAGTTCGAAAATGGCTGGCGTTACGTCCGGACGGAGCACTGAAACGCGTATACCTCCCCCCGCCCTCCTCTCTCCCCCGTGAACCTTGGGAAGGCGGAGATTTGGACGTAACTTGGGTTACGTCGGACGTAACGCTAGACACACCGTTGACACAATAAGGTCTTACTCACGCGCTTTCCTGCTTCTTCGCTACAGCGCGAGTGAAGCCACCGGTTGGCAACCTTGCTGGGATACATTTTGCGGTTTTGCTAGCCTTTTGCTGCGGTTTTCCAGCGTGCTGTAGACACGTTTTCTACTCGTTCGTCGTCATTCGCCGAAGACGTTCTTTAAGATTCGGTGCACCGTTGAGACCTGCCGTTGCGAACACTTAGAAAATTATACGAAAGCGCAGTACCGCAGGAAAAAGGCACAACTCGTCGAAAGCAAGTTTCGCCGGTTTGGCGGCGTGTTCAAAGCTTCCTTGGCACGCCTAAAGTGACGTATCTCTGTGCCTTCGCACGCTTAGATACCGACCAAGAATCGACGCCGTGTGAATGTGTTAAGTGCAATGTGCGTGGAGCCGTATGTGCCTCTGAATCAGCGTCTTACTTTACTCTGACGACTGTGTACTTCTGGCACTCGCGGTCCAGAAATGAGCTTATTCCTGCGACCAGTGGCGACGGAAGAGGGGGGAAGGTATCTCTTTTTTTCGTCCTTAGTCATTTTACAGAATATTGCACAAAACAGCTCCTCATCACTGTTCAGTGCTGGCTCATTATCGACCTACTTAGTTGCACTTGACGATTGAGCACGGCTCACTAATTGTGATTGGTCAACAGATTGCACACAAACATATGGGTCGCGCTTCAAAAATTTTCATTCTCGCCGTCTTGTAGTTTTGCTTTCGAAAACCCTCCTTGCTCCGCAGCTTTGCTCTGTTCGTGCTTCCATGTGATCCATTAGATTACATTTGGAACATAGCCATGGTTATTAGTACATAAGAACACATACATATCCCCCCCCCTTCCCTTTATTCATAGTAACTCACTGGAGCAGCTGGATGATCCAGAACTCCGTGGCCGATATATATAAATGATCTAAAGGCATCTATGCGCGACACACGTTCAGAACTTTGGTGTGGCGTCGATTCTTGATCGGTATCCAAGCGTGCGAAGGCACAAAGACGCAGCACTCGGCGTACCAAGGAAGCTTTGATCACGCCGCGAGACCGGCGACACTTGCTTTCGACAAGTTGTACCTTTCGATACGTACGGCTTCACGCACATTGCACTTGCAAGACATATCCAGATGGCATCAATTCTTGGTCGGTATCTAAACATGCGAAGGCACAGAGACACGGCACTTCGGCGTGCCAAGGAAGCTTTTGAACGCGCCGCCAGACTGGCGAAACTAGCTTTCGACGAGTTGAGCCTTTTTCCTGCGACACTGCGCTTTCGGGAAATTTTCCACGTGTTCACAACGGCAAGTCTCAACGGTACTTAAAAGTCTTAAGAGTCTTAAAAGACACATGCAAAGGAAAAAAACATTTTTTTTAAACGGCTTAGATGGAAAAAGGACGCCATAAAACGATTTTACAACGAAGAAAAAAATTTTTTAGAGCTATATTTACGGCGCAAAACGAATTTGTAGTTGGCGCCCGCGGGCACCGCGGAAAAGTGGTCTGTATTTATCACGTGACTGGTCTTTATTTATCACGTGGTGCTTGCGCTCTTTCGGAAGCTTCCTATGGCCTCTAAAAGTAACTTATTCATCTTTGTTTGAAGTATAACAAAAAACCAAGACGAATAAGTAACTTTTAGAGTCCAAAGGAAACTCCTGAAAAAGCGCAAGCAGACGTGATAGACCTGTGCGCCGGTCAGACGACGGCGGCGGCGCCCCGAAGCAGACGAACTTGTGCGGCGGCGGCGACGGCGCCGTGGAGAAACGCGTTGAAGCGGCGTTCGCACAACGCTCAGCGTGCGGCGGCGACGCAGCGCGGCGGCGCGCGGGCCTACCACGTGACCAGCGGCGGCTCCCGCGAGCGCCAACTACAAATTCGTATAGCGCCGTAAATATAGCTCTAAAAATTTTGTTTCTTCGTTGTAAAATCGTTTTATGACATCCTTTTTCCATCTAAGCTGTCTAAAAAATTTTTTTTTTTCCTTTGCATGTGTCCTTTAAAAAACATCTTCGGTGAATGACGACGAACGGGTAGAAAACGTGTTTACAGCAAGCTGGGAAACCGCGGCAAAATGCTGGCAAAACCGCAAATCGTATCCCAGCCAGGTTCCGTCCGGTGGCTTCACTTGCGGAAACGGGAAGCGTGATCCAGCAATTGTCATTGAAATCAGTGGTCTTGCTCAATGAACAGCATCTGAGCGATTTTCCAGGTGACGCGACGCGGATCCGCTGTTGCTCAATTTTTCATCGCCACTCGCCCGACTCGGCGAGGCAAACCGCACGTAAGCTACTTCCGGGCGATGAGCGAAGTGACAGGAAGAGGAAATCTAGAACTGGGCGACGCGACAGCGACGAGCGATAGCCCCAACATCTAAGCACAAGACAATGCAAGTTGAAAATCCTACACCTGTTCTAATGAGAACATTTTCGACAGAAATCCGTCTGGTTGGTGAAAAGCAAAGGGAAGAAGGGCGTTGGTGAAAAAGCAAGGGGAAGAACTGAAGTTTGCTGTGTATAGGAAACCAACGCACACCGGGCGCTACTTTCAGTTCGACTCGAACCATCCAGAGTCGCAAGGCATCAATGGTCTCCACACTTCTATCCAGAGCAATGACCATCTGCTCATCAGAGACCGACGGAAGAAAAGCAGACGTACCATCATTGCTGATCTGAAGAACAATGGCTATAGCAACAGCTTTGTTGGGCGCATCGCCCGTCGCAATGGTCGCACGTGCCACAACAAAAAGTTATCACAACACCATAGCCCCGTATAGAGGAGGCTATGACAACACACGCAGCCTCGGCCCATCGCGCGCATCAGTGTCCCCTACGTAAGCGGGACAAGCGGGACCAGCGAAGTGCTGGCGCGTGTGCTAAGAAGGCATCCAAGTGTCCCACAAGCCTGTGTCCACATTGGGACGATTCATGCCGCGACCCACAGATTGCCTCCCAAAAACAAGAGCACAGGGAGTGGTCTACAAGATCCCATGTGCAAAGTGCCCCGCTACTTACATCGGCGGGACGAAAAACTTTTCTCAGTGCATCACTCAGCATAAGAACGACGTACGCAAGTTCGACCGCAGCGCCGTCGCGGGACACTGCGATGTTTACGACCATGTAATCGACTTATTCCGAAAAAGGCTTTCCCTTGTTGTCTCGCGGTAGACCTGTGCGCCGCCGCGCCGCGCCGCCGCCGCCGCCTGTTTTGCTCCTGCCGCCCTGCGCCGCCGCCGGGGTCCCCAGAGCCAGCACGCCGCCGCCGCCGCCGCACAATAAATCCGGCGCGCCGCCGGCGCCACCATCTTTTTTTTTTTTTTTTTTTTTTTTTGGGGGGGGGGGTATTGGTGTTTTTTTTTTCCTGCTTCTGTATGAGTTTTGCTTACTATATTATGCATAAAAATGAATAGATTTTTTGCCTTTCATTTTTACTCCTGTAAATATATCAATAAATGTAGAAGTTACATAAAAAACGGAGACACGGAACGATAAGAAAAACGGACAAAACAACAAGTCTCAAACACCGTTCATTGTTT